GTTGGTTTGGGGTGCAGGTGCCCACAGCCAGGTGCTGCCAGCCCTGGAGCTGTCCTGATTTGTCCCATCAGCACAGCTCTTGTCAAGTGTAAATGAGGCTGCAGGGAGGGGTGGGGACACCACTGGGTTCCAAGTGCCTTCACAAAGCCCTGCTGAGCCAGCCATGATCAGAAGCATCCCTGTTCAGCTCAGCACTGTGGGAATCCAGAGCTTCCCTCTGGCTGCCCTGGGACCCTGGCAGGGGTCAGGAACCCCCCTGGACAGAGCCCCCAGAGACACTGGCTGTGATCTCTGGCCATGGAAAAGAGTTTGCAATCTTACAGGATGAATTATCAGCTCTGAGTGTTTGATATAAGTAATAATTCAGTGTGGCACGGGTGCAAAAGTAAAATTTTAGGATTCTAGATGAGGGGTCCAAAGGGGACAAGATGGAGGAAATTGGGTGTGCCTTGTCCTTTTTCTCCTTCTTCATGCCCTCCATGTCTCACTGTGGTGTTGGCATTTTTCTGTTGGTTCAGGCTGGGGACACACTGTCCAACGTAGGTGACAGATATTGGCACGTTATTGTAAATCCAGCCCAGGGAGTTTCTGGTATTTAATGTTTGTCACATCCCACTGAGGGCAGAGCCCCACACGCTGCCCTGCAGGACAGAGCTGGGCAGGGCAGCAGAACATGTGAGAGATAAACAGAATAAACAACCTGGAAACCAGCACAGACCAATTATGGCTTCTGCTTTGGCAGCGGGGCTGAAAGACAGAGACTTTCTACAATCTCAGAATCATCAATACCACAGATTCCGACACAGCACAAGCAGATCCCAGTGAGATTTCCCAGGCTGAGGGCAGTAATTTGAGAGTTACGGGGTCTGATGGGAAGGCAAGGTGGAATCTGCCTTTTATTCTGAATTTTCCCCCATGTTCATTTAAGACATAGCTGGATGGTTTCAGCCCTGAACCTTCTGGTTGTTCTGTGCCACCCTTATTCCTGTTTGCATACAGATTTATCTTAGATTAGGTCCCACCTTTCCTTGAATCTATTTCTGTGCTTTCTTGTTTGCATCATCTGGTAAATTCCTTGCAATGCAGCTTTTCAGGAAGGAATGTTTTTTTCCTTCACAGTGTCAAAGAGAGAATCGTAGTTGATGTCTCTGGAAGCAAGAAAAGCAGTTTTAAAAATCCCAACTCTACCTCTGGGTTAAGAGTTAGAGTTTGCCTGGATTGCCATCCTCGAAAGCAGCTCTTCTACCCCTGGGAAAAAATTGCTTTGTCAGTTTAATTTTCTCTCAGCTCAGCAAAGCCATGGAAAACTGGCCAAGAGTTTTATTGGCACATCTGAGTAATAAAAAAATGAAATAATTAAAGAAAGCTATTCACCCTTTTAACTGATACAGCTCATGCTGGCCAAACATTTACATGTCCACTTGGCCTTTATATGAGAAGCTTTAAACCTGCAGTAACAGAGTGTTGAAATGAAGATGTGGGACCATAGGTGTGCCCCTGGCTTCAAGGACTCCCAGGTGAGGATTTGCTCACTGGTGACATCCCATCCATCAGCAATGCAGAGGTTTTGTCACAGTTCCCAGGAGGAAATTGTCACATAAATCAGGAAACGTGGGGCCAGTCAAAATGTGGGACCTGTCAGTATTTCTTGTAAAATGAGGAGCTGCACACTGGGAAATGCTGGGGTTTGTGGCCTCATGTTAATTGAAAGAGAAAATAAAGCAGTTAATTCCCATTTTGGATGAAAAGGAGTGACTGGAGACCCTGCTCCCCCTCACCTCCTCCCCATGGCACACGATGTAGTTATTTTGGCATGTGCACATGATTTAGTTACTTCACACTTGGCCTCTGGGAATTACTGGTACAAATCCCTTTGCACTGGGTGGAAATACATAATCATTGGTGCCTGAAGATGAGTTTTTCTGCCCTCCCAGATGGTGTGGGAGGGACCCTGCTGGCTGGGCTGGCTCCTTGCACAGCACAAGCCACAGCCCTGGGACATTCTGACTGTGAAGAATGCTCATTGCTTGGTTTTTTTTTTTTTTTTTTTTTTTTTTTTTAATGGGATCTTTTTAAAGTGTAGGGTTCTTTTAGTATTCTGTATTTTTTCTTAAATCCCTGCAAAGGTGCTGCCTTTGGCCGATGGGCTGCTAAAAGCCCTCACCTCCAGCCAGAAGAGCAGGTTTGAAAGATTTGCTGAGAGCTGTGGAATCAGATATGCCCAGAGAACCTGGGACTGGATTTTCACCATTAAAGCCAGTTTTCAGATGTGACCAGTCTGAATCCAGCATGAAAATTACTTCTGAGTTTCGAAGTCCTAATGAAAGCTGGAAACCTGCCTAAAAGGGCTGCTGTGTGGTGAGTGGTCCCAGGTTTTAATTGGTGTTCATGCAAGACCTTTTCACTCTTTGGGGAATTTGCTTTGAATGTGGATGAGATGTGGAAATTTGGAACTTTTGTATGGAACAGAAGTTGTCACATTTTTCAGATTCAGAACAGCCAAGAGTTTCATCCAGCCCATTTGTAATCCCTTCATTTAGATGGAATGAAACGTTTCGTCCTGATAAGGTCAAAGCATGAAAATATGAATATATTAAAATACCTGTCAAAATGAAGGTAATCAAATTGAGAACTGGAGCAAACACTGTTGAAATAATTCACTCGTTTCCCCCCACCCCCCCACTATAAATTTCAGTGCTGTGGACATATCCTTATGAAATGTTTTCATGGGAAAACTCTATTTTTCCAGTAGATAGCTACCCTGACCAACGTAATAAGATTTTGATCAGCTCTTGGAAAAATACAGGCTTTGGGAGAGTGATGCCTGAGGTTGCTCAGTGCTGCCATCAATCACATCTTGCCTCCAGGCTCGCTGGCAGAGGAAGCTCAGGCACTGCTGGTGTTGCTGCTGTGACCTCTGTCACTCAGAGGTCCCTGCTGACCCAAAGTTTGGGTTTGTGAGAGGGGCTGCACAGAGGCTGCTTGAAATCAGTGAATCCTAGAATAATTTGGGTTGGAAGGGATATTAAAAATCATCCTGTTCCACCCCCTGCCATGGGCAGGGACACCTCCCACTGTCCCAGGCTGCTCCCAGCCCTGTCCAGCCTGGCCTTGGGATCCATGGGCAGCCACAGCTGCTCTGGGCACCTGTGCCATTGTAAAATACTTCTTCTATCTAATCCAAAGGGACCCTCTTTCAGCTCAAACCATCACCTCTTTCCCTATCACAACAGGCTCTGCTAAAAATTGTGTCCCCAAGTTTTTACAAGTCCCATTTAAACACTGGAAGGTGCTAGAAGGTCTCCCTGGAGCCTTCTCCGGGCAGAATAATCCCAGTTCTCTCAGCCTTTCCTCACAGCAGAGCTGCTCCATCCCTCTGATCATTTTTGTGGTCCCCTCTGGACTCGCTCCAACAGGTTGATGTCCCTCCTGTGCTGGGGATCCCAGCGATGCTCTGGGTGGGATCTCCCCAGAGCACCACAGAGATAATGGGATGTGAGAAACAGCCGCTCACTTTTCATAAATTAAGAAAGGTTTATTAAACCATGTCAAAAACCCAACAGAAGACTGAATAGAGAAAATATTGTGGTGCAGGAGCAGGGGATTTTCCCACCATGTGCTCGCCCACGCAATGGAGGTTTTGCCTTTTAACCCTCCAGTCCCTCCCAAAGTTCTGCCCATCGACTCCTTCGCTGTCCAGTGGTGGAGTTTACTTCCTCAAATCCTGATGTCACCCTAGTGACATGCCAACCCTCCCAAATATCACAACCCCAGCTGTACCTTGATAATAACTCAGGGGGTAAAAAACTATTTTTCTTAATCTATGTACATGATAGTTGTCTGTTAATTGTGAGTCAATCATCACATTACTCATCTATCACATGGGATTTAATCCATAATTTTCCTCTGGAATGTCCATAAAAATCTTCTTGGGCTCATCAGACACTTGTGGCAGGCACATTCTTCTCTCTTTCAGGAGTTTTTCATAGAGGAGCACAGGGGGAAGAAAGAGATAACAATTTCTATTTCTGCCCCTTGTTTTTCCCATGTAGAATGTGTTTGGAGAATTGTTTACCTGGGATGAATGCTTGATTGGATTCTGGTGAGGATTGTTTGAGCCCGATGGCCAATCCAACCCACCTGGGGCTGGACTCTCAGAAAGGGTCACAAGTTGGGAGTTAGTTAGATATGGTAGTTAGAAAAAGTAAGTTTGTAGTTTTAGTATCTCCTTTAAATAGTACATTAATGTATTATAGTATAGTTATAATAAGGAAATCCTTCAGTCTTCTAAACTGGAGTCAGACATCATCATTTATCCCCACTGGGTTCATATTTACAATAAGACCCCATCTCTGAGGCTGCACGTGCTGTCCTGTCCCCTGTAGGACACTTGTTCAAGAGGAGGGAATGCAATTGTAAATGCACACCTGAAAATTGATCCAGGCTATAAAAGTCTACTATAAAATACAGTATTTTAATTGTGCCTCTCTCCTCCTCATTCCATGGCAATCAATTCTTTCTCCATCAAGGCCATCTCTTCTCCTTTTCTGTCTCCACATTGTCCCTCTTGGTCTGAATCCAAACTCAATGCATTTCCTTGCGAAACATCAACACTGTGTTCCCTTCCAGGGGTGCTCCCTGGCTGCCCTTTCCCAGCCACCAGCAGAATTTCCAGCGTGGAGGGGGATCTATAAAACATGACTCGTAAAGAGAAAGAGCTGGCATTTGACTCCTGAAGGGAAAGAGATGGTGGAGAGCTGCGAAGAAGATGGATGCCCCCCTCCCCGAAATATAAAGAAATATGTGCAGAAAATGGAAGAGATTTAAAGCAGCTATCAATCGGTCGCTGTTCCAGCTTTAAGAGCTGTTGAAACAACATAATAAAAGGCAATAAACAAGAGATTTACAACCTACCTGCTGGAAATTGCTCTCTGCAACTCTGGTGTGGGGTGAGCGCAGCGTGCCAGGCTGGGGGGAATCGCTGCCTGGCGAGTGCACGTGCCCCAAATTTGGGGCCCTGCACGTAGCCACAGCTCTTCCCTCCTTTTCCCTATCTCCATCCCCTCTCCTGTCCCTCTGAGCCCTCGTATTTATGGCTTTGGCATTTGGTGTGTTAAAGGCTTGGTTTTGTTCAGTTTGAGCAGTAAACCCAAGGCGATTTGTTGCGATCGATGGCAGCAGGCTGGAATTTTAAGGGCCAGGTATTTTACCATGGGGGCTGGACCCTCCAGCTAAATCTTGAAGGCAGGGAAGGTGAAAACACACAGTACTGCCTAGGGCAGCGTCGGGAAAGGCTTGTAAACCACTGGCACTTATTTAAATTCCAGGAAAATCACCAGAGTGGGGGGAATAAATCTACAAAAAACAAAACTTAAGTGAGAAGAAAGTGAGCGGCTTAACATGGAGATTTCTAATGCCTTCTTCAAGGCTGAAAATGTCCTTTTAAAGAAAACACAACTTTCACTCCTGCCCCAACTCACAGAGGGCTGAAACTGTAGACATTTGCAGAAAATTGTGGTGAGGCAGTGTGCGTCGGGCAGGATCTGGGCTGAGGTTTAAGGACCATGGACACAGCACAAGTACAACTCTGAAAGTCTGGGGAGACAACACAGCTAGAAAATGGGACGGGGAATGGACATTTACCTCCAAAACCCACTTGCAGGGAGAAGTGGTTCCACATTTCCTAGCCCTGGGTGTTGCTCTGCTTCTTTCCAAGCCACAGAGCTTTCCCTTGTAAATCAGTCTTCTCTCTTTCCTCCTCAGAGTTTTCCCTCCTGCCTGCCACTCCGGCTTTCCGGCCAGGAGTTCCAGGATTTTGTTTCACAAAGCACAGCCCCTGAGCCGTGACATGAGGAGCTCTGGCATATCTGATGCTGTTTGTTCTCCGGGAGGGAGGTGGGGGGAATGTGAGCAGGCTGAGAGGGGTAAATCAATCCACTTTCTGGAAGGAGGGATGCAGAGTGGCACCGTGCTGTAATCCAGCGGAGCCGGAGAGTGCTGGGGAGACAGATCTGGGACGGAGAGAGGAGGGGCTGCCCTAATCCTCTGCCCCTCCAAAATCCCCAGCATGGAACAAAGCCCTTGTTAGCAAATAAGGACGGGGGAGTGGTAGCAATAAGCGAAATAAATACCCTTAAATTCAGCTGTAATGAAAACCTGGGAGCCAGCACTGGAGTCTTTTCATAAACGCTGGGGAACAAGATTGTTCTAATTATAAAAGCCCAATCAGGGGGACCAGCACGCATGAAACTATGGATTAATTCAGCTGCTTGAATGCCAGTGTGTGGCAGAGAGGCAGCAACAACCTCCTCCCTCCCTCCCTTCCCTACCCTACCCTGGAAGAGTTTGAAGGCTTTTTATTTGGTTTATTTGGCCTTGCTCTGGAAAGGTGTCCTGACAACAAAAGGGGAAAGGGCCCAAAAACCAAGAGAAGAAAAAGCTTTGGTCCCAAGGCTTTCCCCAATGTGCTCAGAAACGTCTTCTCGGTGTTTCAGACTGTGGGAATGTGCAGAAACTTGTCTGTCCTCTGTTTTCTCCTATGTCTGTCCATCTCAGCAGGGTCATGGACCGTTCTCATCCATTCCCCTCCCTTTTGCCCCCTTCTCCTTCAAATTAGCTCCTGTCTCCATAAATGCAGTGAAAAAAAAGAAAAAGAAAAGCTAAATTTTTGAGGGCTGCAGGTTTGAAAACTGTCAGGAAAGGATTTGGATTCCTTGAAAGGAAGAAAACAACAATTTCCCTTCATTTCAAATTCAAGGGTCATGTGCCTCCAAAGCCATGTCTCCACAGGAAAATATTTAAGATCGATTAAATCATAACCCATGGTTTCTCTCAAACAGTTGTAGTTTCAGGGTTGGCTTTCTAAAACTTCTCTTGGAAACTCCAAAGGTTATGAAGTTCCTGCTTCACAAGAATCACAGAGAAATGGCTCAGTGTGAGTGCTCAGGAACTGCAGGAACATCTCCTTTTCTCCCCTAATCACAAGACTATGAAAAGACCTTCAGAGCTGGAAATTATCTTGGTGAAGACATTTTGGAATTCTGAGTGGGAGGCTGTTCCACACCTGTGGATTCTTGGAGAAAACCTTGTTGATGGTGGAGGAAAAGAATCCTCAAATGGAGGAGATTCCCACCCCAGGTCATTATTTCTACTTCCTCCTCTCCTGCCGCCTCTGGGGATTTCCCTTATTTCAATTTTTCGCTACATATATCACAAATAAAACCAAACCAAACCCCTACTCCTGTCCCAGCCATTTCTCCTGCTCCACCTACAGCAGCCCAGTTTTGAGGCAAGAAGCACAGAATTAATGGGAATTCTGTAGATTTACAAACAAGCACTCAGAGACGAGACTGTGCCTATTTATCTCCTAATACAGTGGTTTAAAAAAAGTCCTTCTTTAATTGCATTTGGGATCTATTCTAACGATTTGCCCAGGAGAGTATTAAGATGTCAAGGCTTTTTCATTAGTAATATATCCCCAAACAAAATCTTTGTTAAGATAGGTTAAGGCAGTAAATAGACCATTAATTTACAGAACATAATTAGTACCTTGCAGTTATTCATGGAAATAGTTGGATTTCTTTTGTTGTTATTCAATGGAAAGATTTAAAACAAATACAGCAGAAGCAGGTCAAAAAACAGAGGCAAAAGCATCAAAGGTATTGATTAAAGTTTCAACAATAACCTTAACTCTGCAGCAGTACCCAAAACAACATCATTTACACCACCCAAATACATTCTCCCAGTGGTAAATAATGAACACAGAAAACAGCAGCAAGTTTTGAGCAAATATCAATACAGAGCTGTAAAATAACTCATTTTAAGGGCTAGGGACTATAGCCCACATCTAAAATTGGAAACAATATTGAGGCTCTTATTTTCCTAAGAGATTGTTGGTAATGTTAGTATGTCCAATGAAAATATTTTATTTGGTATTATTTATTTAATTGGCTCTATTATCTTTGCAACTGTGGCATCATTTTGATTAGGGAAACTGGAATAATTTATTTTGTAGTGTCCTCTACAGTCTCAGAATTTAAAACAAATAGATTTTTTTTCTAAAATTGTTTTTAATTGCTGATTATTAAAATGAAGAAATTTTCAGTTGACTTCAGACTGACTGAAAAAATGATTTTATGAAGATATGGATATCTTCTTATTAACAAATTTGATTTTACATGATCCGGAAATTAAGTCTGAGCCAATTTTAGTGTTTTATGTGTATTACTGCAACTTGCAAAGCACAATTGAATTTTCAGGGGTCAGGAGCTGTTCTCACAAGACAATAAGGCCATAAATCATGGTCAGTGCCCAACAGGTACTGGATGTAAAGGATGTTAGACAGCAATTAGTGCAGCACTTAGAAATAATAACGAATTATCAGATTGAAAAAAGTAAAAAATTATGTGCTGGACCAAGTAGTTAAAAGTTCAGCTGCATCATGAGATGAAGGAACTATTGCTTCTCTGACTAGACCTCTTGGCAGCAGCAGAAACCAAAACAGAACAAATAAAATGTCACTGAAAAGAAATATATAAATAATTTTTAATTTCTTAAATTAATTTACATTACTCATTTGTTACTCCTAATAATGTTGAGGTGACATTTCCTACAGATGGGTTGAAAATAGTGTTTTCTGTATGGGAATCTTGCCAATACGCTTTTAAATACAAAAATTAGAACTTTTTAATTAAAAAAAATATGTGTGCCAGAATAATTTCTAGAAAAAATGGTTGCAGAATGAAACATTCAAATATATTATTGATTATTATTAATGACAGGGATATTATTAATACCTAATAATAAATAATAATATATATAATAATAAAAATAATACTAATTAGGAATATTATCAATCCCTAATTAATAATAACAATTATTCTGAAAAAATTTATAATAAAAATACATTAATATAGATATAAATATAAAATATATAAAATAATATATAAAACAACAAATAATATATAAAAATAACAAATATTATATTTAATATATCCCTATTATTTGATTTGCTAAAATTGCTCTTCTAATGGCATTTAAAAGGGGTCCAAACTGAATTTCTCTCCTCACAGCTGGGAACTGCCCATTTTTGAAGGAGAGACCAAAGCAAATCACTGTGACTGGGGAAACTGAGGCACTGAGCAGTTTGGGGTTGACAGCTGCAGGGAGAGGCAGCAGTGTCCCAGCTGGGCATTCCCAGGCCAGCTCCCTGGTGGCATCAGGGGTGACATTTCCCAGTGACACCCTTTTGATTTATTAAAGAAATATGGATATTGATCTAGTACCAATATCCAACTGGGATGGACAAAAACTCTCTAACAGGTTAAAGTTAGAAAGTGTGTGTTTATTGTGTGTGGGATCTCCCAAATCCACACCGCAGCTTCCAGGTGATTACAGAGGCTTTTTATCCATACAAGTATTGAACACCCAAAATACAAATACATATTCACCATTTTGGTACATCCCATCCCTCACTTTGTTTGCTAATCATTTCAAAAGCCATTCAACATGCGTGGTTTGTTCCTTGAAATGGGTCAGTGTCCCTTCCATGGGGAGGGGTCCCAAAATGAGGAAGTCAATGAAGTCTTCCTCCTTCTGACCTTTCTACCTTTTCAATGCCAATATGACAAATGAACTCCTGGTAGAACTCCCATTCCTTGTCTTCTGTTGGTTTCAGAACAGAGGAGGCCCACAATTGTCTGATGTTCCTAAAAGCCATTTGCCAGTTTATATTCTTCATTATAAACCCAGCTAACTAAACATTGTGCTGACAAGCAATCAGTTATTAGTTAACTACTAACTCTCAACTTCATCAAGGCCCACTCATTTATTTTAATTAACTCTAGCAAGGCTTATTTCTAACTAAAATCTAAGCTCCTCTAAAATCTCTAAATTCTTTAAAATTTATGTTTCA